GATCTTGTGTTGATGGAAATATTTAGATGTGCCAAGTCTGAATGGAATCGGATTTTAAATTTCCCGTTTTATGAGCTTCATGGATATTCAAAATTTTGACCCTTTGTGGGGGAGGTGCCAGAAGGAATGATGCGATCTTTACCATCTTCACATCAGATCTTGGGATAGTAGAAATAATAGAATGCGTAAAATATGACGAAAACCGGATGCATACTTCGGATTTTATAATCGTTTTGGTTATTCAAAACTTTGACCCTTTGTGGGGGAGGTACCAGAAGGAATGTTTCGATCTCTACCATCTTTATAACAGATCTTGTGCTGATAAAAATATTGAGATGTGCCAAGTCTGAATGGAATCGAATGTTAATTTGGTGTTCTATAAGCTCCATAGATATTCAAAGTTTTGACCCTTTGTGGGGTATGTTCCAGAAGGAATGATCCGATCTTTACCATCTTCACATGAGATCTTGGGATAGTAGAAATAATGGAATGCGTCAAACTGAAGACAACCGGATGCATATTTTCGATTTTATAATCGTTTTGGTTATTGAAAACTTTGACCCTTTGTGTGGGAGGTACCAAATAAGGAGGTCCGATCTCTACCATCTTTATAAGAGATCTTGTGTTGATGGAAATATTGAGATGTGCCAAGTCTGAATGGAATCGGATGTTAATTTTTTGTTTTATGAGCTTCGTGAATATTCAAAATTTTGACCCTTTGCGGGGCAAGTACCAGAAGGAGTGGACCGACATATTGCATCTTAACACCAGACCTTTGGTTAATAAAAATATTGTGAGGTGTGTAATTTGAAGGCAATCGGACGCTTACATCATAATTTTGTAAGAGTTATAATTATTCAAAATGTTGACCCTTTGTGTAGAAGGTACTTGATGGAGTTGTCCATTTGTCCATTTTCCACACCTTATCTGGCTCTGATGCAAATATTAGAATTTGCTAAGTTGGAGCAAAATCGGATTATCCTTTCTCTTTCTGTGCAGTAAATTATTTTCTTTGAAAATGTTGACCTTTTGTGGGGGAGGTACCAGAAAGTGAACCGATATTGCCCAACTCCGAACTCGATCTAAATTTGAGAATAATATTACGATGTACCAACTTTGGATCAAATCGGATACTCCCTTCAAGAGTTATGCACCAGTCAGACAGACCGACGGACAGACATTGCTAGATCGACTCCAAATGTCCTGAAACGGATTTGGTCCAAAGAGACCTATGGTCTTAAACCATTATTTCGATGAGGCACATTTTGGCCGTATCAAATGATATATACCCTCTGTGGCCATATGGTTGAGGGTATTAAAATGGCACTCCCAAAAATTCCAGTCCACAAGTGTTTTACATCTTTCATCTATAAAATATTTTCAATTTATGGCCTAAGATATTCACAACTTCGTAGCTTTGCAAGATGTTTATACAGCTTATACATTTAAATTGAAATTTGATTTCGTTCAAAACCACTCACTTTAAATTCCCTCCATATACCCCTCATACACCCACTCTCCCACACCCACCACCACTAGCTCCATAATTGAATAATAACTCATGCCATTATGAACATTTTAATTTTCTTATTGCTTAATGATTTACCCCCCGGAAAGGCAAATAGCTTTTGGCCCAAAGCGTAACCGCTAATCACGTTCGGGTCACCATCGTTATTAGGATCATTCAATTAATTTTAGCCTGTGAACAGTAACAGCTGACTTCGATGCGCGACAACGAGGAATTTGGGGTAGCAAGTTTGCTGGCTGCCATTACATTTGGCCAACCAACATCAGGCCTAATGCGGACAATGGCATCATTTGGCGAAATTTGCCAACCGTTTTGGCTAGCATTTTTTTCTTCGGCACAATAATAACGACAATGTAACAGCGAAATTTGCGCCCCAAGGCATATGCAGTGAACTTTAGTGGCTGAGCTACAAGGGAAGGATATTGAAATTGTGTTTTGCTACAATTCTCCAAGTTTAGAAACTGTGAACAAGTTGTTGCCAGATTCCAACTCACACCAATGAAGCAACCGCACACACAAAAAATAGAAACAACAACAACAACAATTCTGTTCTTTCTACTCACTTACCTACAACAATTTCCAATTAACCACAAAATTTATAATTGAAAACTTTTGTTGTTTGCATTCGGCAGCGTTCATTGCCAAGGAAAAACATTGCTGTTCAATGATGTTCCTTCAATTTTGTTGTTGTTGGTTTTTTATTTTCAATTTTTTTCCTTTTTTTTGGAAGCAATAAAAGTTGTAGTTCCACAAAAGGAAAAAAACACTTTTTGGTTAAACGTTTTTTCACCATCTCCTCTTCCGAAATATGTATGTGTGTGTCCATAACGAAACTTTGGCCCAATGAGCAAAAGTTATGCTGTTTGTTTTTTAATTTTTAATTTCAAACAGTTTTATTAATTGAAATTTGCTAATTTGTGGAGAGTTCAAAAGTTTTTCGCCCATCTCAAAAATCAAATACATTAAAAATTATTCTGACAGGTTTTTTTTTTTTTTTTTTTTTTTTTTTTTTTTTTTTTTTTGTTGTTTAAACATTGAAGTGGTCTGGGAAGAAATTTTTGTGTGGGGGCATGTCATAAAAACATGTTGATGGTGTTTAACTAATACTCAAGGCATGAAAGTTGTGAGTTGTTGTTCGGCTATTTGAAACTTAGAAAAAATATGGAAAAATTCTAGATCAACAAAATTATTTTGACAGTTGAAAGAAAAATGTCCATGATATCGATGAAAAAATGTTGACTTACATTCGCAAAGTAGTCTAAATAAAGAAGTAAGTTTTTCCCTCTCCCACGTTTTTGACATTTTCGGATTAAAATTGTTTGGAATCTGTGTATTTAAGGTATAAACTGATGTAAACTTTCAAAAACCCGATTGACGTTTCTTCTTTTGTATACCCTCCACTTTGGAAAGGAGGGTATTCGTCATAGACCCCATAATAATCATAATCAGCATAAAATTCTAAGTGGATTTAACGATTTCCGTCTGACCGTCTGTCTGACGTAGAGCTTCAAAATTTGGTAGAAATATTTGTGTTGTGTCTGGGATGGTTGGTTCTGAAAATGAGATATATAGGTCCACGTTTTGGTATAGCGCCATTAGGCGGTACATTCGGTTATTCGATATTTTGATGATTTTTGCCACATTTTTCCACGTATTTGTCCAAAAATTGGTATTTGTAGTTCGTAATGGGTTCTAGCTCCTGCAGCGGAACATAGTATGTATAGGTCCACGTTTTGGTATAGCGCCCATATGATGGTATCTCCAGATATTCGGTATTTTTTATGATTTTTGCCACATTTTTCCATGGATGTGTATAAAAATTGGTATTTGTAGGTCCTAATGGCTAGCTTCGGGGCGGAACATAGTATGTATAGGTCCACATAGTATGTATAGGTTTTAGCTCCGGTGGCGAAACACATTATGTATATGTCGATGTTTTTGTATAACCCCCATATAACGGTACATCCAGATATTTGGTATTTTGATTATTTTTACCACATTTTCCACAAATTTGTCTATACCTACAAAAAATTGAACTACCAATCATAATGGATTCTAGCTCCGGTGATAGAAAATTGAGAATTTAGCTCAATTTTTTTGTATAGCTCACATATAGCGATACCCACCAATATTCAGTATTTTGACAATCCTAGTCACATTTACCCACTAAATTGTTTCAAATTTGGTATTTAAGAAGATTTAGTAGATGACAAGTATTGAAATATGAAATTTTCTATAGAGGTTTCCGTTTTGGTATGACCTCCATATAAGTGGAACAAGTTTGAATTCAGATATTTTTTTATAAACAAGTTTTTTTTGCCCATAGATGGAGGGTATTAAAAGTTCGGCCAGGCCGAACTTAATGTTTTTTTTAATTATTAGCTCTGCTTTCATAATCTGTATTTTTCACACAGTGCTAAAGATATCAGGCTTTTAGATTTCCTGTTTTCACTTTCTGTGAGTTTATGCAAAAATTTTCAACAAAACTTAATTTTTGAAGAAGAAAAGAAGGCTCTATTTCTAGTAAATATACAAAGACAATTTTTGAATCGAAAATGCGAAAATTTTTCCTGGTCAATTTTTCTTTGGCCTTATTTCGAGTTGACACATGAAAGTAACATAAATTTTCGTTTTATGCAGAAAGTTTCAAAAGAAGAAGTAGTCCACATAAAATTGCGCTATTATTCTCGGAATAAGACATTTATCTAGGTTGAATAGTTTTTAAGATAAATTCATTACAAATGTATGTATTAAAAGTTAAATGTTGTTTACTGCTAATAAAAAACGTTTCTATTCCAAAAAAAAAAAAAAGATGTTAAGAATCTGGATATGAAATATAAGATTCTGTAGCTGTTGAGATGAATAATAACTGCTTCAATTCATGAAATAATTGTAGGATGGTTAGTACATAGAAATAATAATTGTTACGATTTTAAATGTGGTGAGAAAGGGAAGAGGGTTCACACATGACAATATTTTACAGGAAACAAATAAAGCCACACATAAAGTTGGCTTGTGAACATAGTATGTGTGTCACTTTTTTTGGACATAACCAGTAAAAGAGAGAGAGAGAGAGAGAGAGTGAGAGAGAGTGTCGAGAGTGTTCTGGATATTACTGGAGCGAAGTAACCTCGTTATTGTCATGGAAGATAACAAATTAGAGATATAATGGAATTGTTGTGATAACCATGATACTCTGTCCTCTCACACATGTTAAAAAAAGAAATATATGTGCATATAATTATATAGGTAGCTATTTATAAACGTATAGACAAACACGCTTGCAATTAATATCTATAATTGCCATTATCATAATAGCTCTTGTCTCTGAGAAATTCAATAATTATGAATCAATAACAAGTTTCCCCCACTGCGTATGATCATCACATGTAGTTGACATTATTTATACGCCCCAAACAATCTAAACTTTAATATTTGACTCTTTACTAACGTATTTTTTTCTCTTTTTCAGCATTATCGTGGCTCCCTGAAATCCCTCAATACGGGTATTGTTACTCTGCTGAATTATGGCAAACATGTACCACCGGCCGTATCACATGTAACACTGGCCCATGAAATTGGCCATAATTTTGGATCACCGGTAAGTGAAACAAACTGAAGCAGGATTATATAATTTTTGTTTTATAAGTTAGTATAAGTTAAAAAGTATCAGTCGGTATTGCCGACAGCTGTATATCCTCAGTCAGTGTTTGTTTATTATATGGCTGGAGAGGGTATATATCATTTGATACGGCCAAAACGTGTCTTATCGCAATAACGGTTTTAGACCCTAGGTCTCTTTGAACCAAATCCGTTTCAGGACATTTGGAGTCGATCAACCGGTGTCCGTTCGTAATTATAATTATCAAACTTAGATCGAGTTCGGAGATGGACAATATCGGTCTTCTCCCTTTTGTACCTCCACCACAAAAGGTCGAAATATTAAAAAAATACATTTCTTGCGTAGAAAGAGAAAGGATAAACCGATGTTTCTCCAACGTTGAGAGTCCTTATATTTGCTTGAGTGCTAGGTCAAGAGGGCAATAACTTATGAAAAATTTTGTATAATTATAACTCTTATAAAATGTGGTGCAAGAGTCCGATTGTCTTCAAATTACACACATTACAACATTTTTATTAACCCAAAGTCTTGCATAAAGAAGGAATATATCGGTCCACTCCTTCTGGTACCGCCCCCACAAAAGAACAATATTTTGAATATCCATGAAGCTCACAAATCGCGAAATTAACATCCGATTCTATTCCGACTTGACAAATTTCAATATTTCTATCAACACAGGATCTATTATAAAGAAGGTAGAGATCGGACCATTCCTTCTGGTGTGGGAGAGGAATGGTTTGAATAACCAAAACGATTATAAAATCCGAAATAAGCATCCGATTATCTATACATTTCACACATCACAATATTTTTATTAATCCAAGGTCCTTCCGAACCTACTCCATAGAGGGTCAACAAATAGTAAAAATATTTTTAAATAATCGAACATTGACTGCGGTTATACATCTGTCGACAAAACCGACCGAAAGTTTGTAACTTGTTCGATGTAAACTTTCAAAACGCCCATAATCATAATTTACCGTTTTTTTATAAATATGAAAACTTGAAATTGTCGATCGCGCATCTACCCATCTATATGTTTGCTAAATATTAATCAAGTGTTACTTGTCGTTTGCGCATTCATTATCCTCAAGCGTTCAATGTAAAAACATACACACATAAGTATCGTACCGAGGATGGTCTATTTTGGAAAATACCTCTCTCACAATGATAATCGTTTTGAATACTCATAAATCTAATTAAATTCTCTGGATGTTCCGGGATGAATTCTAACTCTATACTTCAATATATTTTTAAATACCAACAGTGTTCCAATCTTCTAAATGGCAAAATTTTTCAAAAAAATTGTGAATTTCATATAAATTCTATACGAGTAAGAAATAAAATCTCGCATCCTCGAAACTTAAATGAATCCGATATCGGTCATAGTATCCGGGAAATTATTTTAAATATTTCTGAAATTTAAAAAAAAAATCGAAAAAAAATGTTTCTTCCCCGAGGCACATCAAACCCATACCTTCAAATATTTTCACTATATTTTTGGTTCCATAGTTTTAATTTATGGTGTGCAGAAATAAAAATTAACACCGACATGGAAACTGTCTGCCTGTTACCCCATAGTATATCTGATTTTCTCAATACCCATCTAGAAGAAGCAGAAATTCGAGGAATTCCTAACTTCCCCAATCATGTTTTTCTACCTCTGCAATCAGTACGTATGATTTATATCAATTATTCGAACTTGTACACTGTATTTAAAGCGAACAACCCCCTTTTTATTTTCGTACCCCAAAAATGACTTTCATTTTAATTTTACCGAACAAAAAACTATAGTGTTCTTTCACAACATCCCTCTCAAACAAATAGACTCCCATTACAGTTCATATGTTCGCTTCGCCCAAAACCATGATCTGCAAATGTAACAATACAACGTAGTATTTAACAAAATGTAGCGGCAACAATGCTTTTCGAATGGAAAGGTGTGGCAAATTCCGCACAGACACCGACTATACGCGATAACGTTTAAATAGGTGTCTGCCAGGAAGGTTACTGTTTTGCTTTTTCTCCTCCGCATACACATACATATGTACATTTTTGTGTGTATGTAGATCTCTCTCTGTGTGAGTCTGCGATTTTGGTAGAATGAATGTGGAATGCACTTAATGCAATTAGTTACAGTTCGTCGCGTTAGCATGAAATTCTCTCTTTTTCGTTGAACTTTTTAACTATGGCGTCGAGAGGAACTTGATTTTCCTGTGTATATGATATATATGCTGTGTATTCCTTTTAAAATTGTGGGCATGGGTGTATGAGTGTGTGTGGAAATATAGTAAGTTAGCAAACATACGTTTCTGTATAAAGTTTTCCACGTTATGTTGTTCATGTCTGTTCGCTGTGGGTGTTAGTAAAGTCATGACACCAATACATGTATGCATGTTGGGTGATTTTTTTCACACTCTCGCTCTCTCTCTCTCTCCACGGAAAGAAAAAGGAAGCCATACTCATATACAGATTATACAGTCGGATACACTTTCATGCACTCATTTATAACAATAGACTCTAAAGATACCGCACTTTCTTGCCAAGGATAGTAAATTAATGTTAGGGTGTTTCAATTACGGAAATTTTGCATGCGAATGGTATGTTTGAGATATATTGGAGGATTATGTTCCTATTTTTTGGTTTTGAAAATAGATTACAGCAGATTGGGGCGAAATTAAATTCTTCTGCGGAAAAATATGGAGCTTTGAAATAACCAATGATTTTTTTAAACCTCAGTCCTTAAGGCTCATTATACCCTTAGCCATATGGCTTGAGAGGACATATATCATTTGATATGCCCAAAACGTGCGTCAAAATATCAGTTTTAAACCCTAGGTCTCTTTGGACAGAATCCTTTTCAAGATATTTGGAGTAGATCTAACGATGTCCGTCCGTCCGTCTGCCCGTCTGTCTGGCTGGGAGTATCCGATTTAGTATTGTCTAACTTAGATCGAGTTCGGAGATGGAAATAATAATACAATAAAAATAAGTTACTGCACTGAATGAGAAAGTATAATCCGATTTTACTCCAACTTTGCAAATTCTAATATTTGCAGCAGTGCCAGTTCAGGGCGAAAATGGATAATATCGGTGCACTGCACCAAGTACCTCCCACACAAAGGGTCAAAAAATTTAAATTATTCTATAATTTTAAATAATTATAAAACATAATGTTAAAGTCCTACACACTTGACAATATTTTTAATGGCCCACGATCTGGTGCGAAGATGGAATATAGCCTTCTGGTACCAAAAGGTCGAAATTTTCAAAAAAAAATATTCTATTACACGAGAAAAGAAAGTATAATCCGATTTGTGGTTGTAAATTATAATATTTGGATCAGGGCTAGGTCAGGTGTGAACATGGACAATATCGGTTCACTCCATCAAGTATCTCCGTTATAACTCTTATAAAATGTGAAGTAAGAGTCCGATTGTCTTTAAATGACACATATCGCAATATTTGTATCATATTTGTGTCAACCCAAGATCTGCTATGAAGATGTGATATATCGTCCACTCCTTCTAGGACCTCCCCCACAAAGGGTCAAAGTTTTGAATATTCATGAAGCTCATAAGCGCGAAATTAACATCCGACTCCATTCGAGCTTGGTGCATCTTAATATTTCTATCACTGCAAGATATTTTATAAAGACGATTGAGATCGCACCATTCCTTCTGGTAACTTCCCCAAAAGGGGTCAAAGTTTTGAATAACCAAATCGATTATAAAATTCGATATTAGCATAATAATTCACACATGACAATTTTTAATAGCCCAAGGTCTGGTGTAAAGATGGAGTATGTCGGTCCACTCCTCCTGGTACCTCCTCCTGGTACCTCCTCTTGGTACCTCCTCCTGGTACCTCCTCCTGGTACCTCCTCCTCAAAGGGTCAAAATTTTGGGTGACCCAAACGATTATAAAGTCCGAAATAAGCATCCGGTTCTATTCATATTTTACACATTCCATTATTTCTACTAAAACAAGATCTGCTACGAAGATGGGATATATCAGTTCACTCGTTCTGATACCTCCCCCGCGAAATTAACGTCCGATTCCATTTAGACAACACATGATCTGTTATAATTATGGTAGAGATCGGACCATTCCTTCTGGTGCCTCCCCCACTAAGGGTCAAAGTTTTGAATAACCCATACAATTATAAAATTCGAAATAAGCATCCGATGGTCTTCATATTTTACACATCCCATTATTTCTACTAAACCGAGATCTGCTACAAAGATGGGATATATCGGTCCACTCGTTCAAATACCTTCCCCACAAAGGGTCGAAATTTGGAATATTCACGAAGCTCATAAAACGCGAACTTAACATCCGATTCTATTCAGACTTAGTACATCTCAATACTTTCAAACAACACAAGATCAGTTATAAAGATGTAAGAGATCGAATCATTTCTTCCGATACTTCCCCAACATAGCGTTCAAGAACCACACCAAGAAAGCGAAATAAGCATCTAAGTCTCTTCAAATTTCACACATCTAATTATTTCCACTAAAACCAGATCTGTTGTGAAGATAACATATATCTCCTGGTATCTAACCCACAAAGGGTCACAGTTCTCAATATTTTTAGCTGTCATAACTTGTAAAAAATACGATTCTATATAACTAGCTATATCTAGATATTTCTCTCAACCAGAGACCTGTGATGACTATGGAATTTATCCAAACCTGGCACGTCACAATATTTATTTATGTCGATACAAAATGGACAATATTGGCCCATTCCTTCGGAACCTACTCCATAGAAGGTCAACAATTTGAAAAAAATCATAGCATAAGTCAAAATATATTTCAATAATCGAATTATTTATAAATTTTTAATATCAAAGTTCGTAGACGATTCTCACAAATTCTAGAATATTTTTTCCCAAGGCTTTTTGAAAATATTCCTTATTTTCCTTTTCAAATACGATTCTCATTAGCCAACCACCCCATTAAAATCGATTTCCACTGCAACTGAAAATCTATCCAACCTAAACTTCTTCATTTCGCAAAGTACTTGAGTTTTCCTTTTTTTGCCGGTGTTTTTTCATCTTAAGAGATTGTTGTTATTTTCCTAGAGCATATCAAAAGCTTTAGCGTGCTTAAGCGTATTCTGCTTTCGCATCGCTTCAATGATATAATCATTACGCTTTCTTGTTATACGCTTGCGGTACTTGGAATTTCCTTTAATCATCGATTAAATTGTAACAAGGACAAATTACATTTTAAGTTATTGCGTTTCCATGTCGGTTGCAATGCAGCGTGGCAGACGTTGCATTGAATTTGAATGAAGTTACATATGTATGCGCTGTGTGTGTGTGTGCGTTAAAGAAAATGAAGATACATGTCAAATGTGTATTTTTCATGCGGGTTTTCAGTCGAAAATTGGTAATTATCAAATTAATGTTTGTTGATTTAATTACACGCCTGAATTGTGCAACAGATATATCAATTAGAATATTTTGAAATTTAGATGAAGCGTTGCGTGTATATTTTGGCAAATGTGTTAAAGTACTCGAAAAGATTGTCGTTTCAAAAGTTATTTTTTTCTTAAAAATTACATTGTGCACCACAAAAAATAATTACAGGAAGCACTCTGTAGATAACAAAAGTAGAGCAAAGAATACATCGCACAGTTACCTAAAAATATGGTCAAATTAGTCGTGAATTCTCATTTCATTTGAAATTTTCGAATTAAGATTTTTTTAGAATCTGTGCATTTTAGGAACATAGTGTCTCTGGTAATATATAACTGATAACAATTCGATGATTATTCGCCATACAGTTCTACTGTATCTGCCAGAATAAATCCAAAGTCCATATCGTACATAAACGCCAAAAAATCAAAAATAGCGCTGTGCTCAGAAATTACACAAAAATTAATTACGAAAAACTCCAGTAGCATTTGAAAGTAGAGCTTAAAATAGAAGGCACGTTTAACGGGGTTTTGAAAATTACATATCGCAAAGTAACTAAAAATAGAGGGGATAAGTTCCCTCCTCTCTCAAACTTGAGAAATTTTCGAATTAAGATTCCTTAGAACCCTTATACAGGGTGAGATAAAAAACTGCACAAAGTCAAACGCCATAATATTTAATTTTTTTTAAATTCTATTGAATTAAAGCAAAAATATCGGAAATAGCATTAAATTTTAGAATAAGTTTAGAATTTTTCGAATTGGTCACCTTTGGCGCGAATTATGGCCTTCAAACCGCCAACGAAACCGTCAAACGCTGCCCGAATTTGCTCTGCGGTATTTTGGCTCATTCCCGGTGAAGCGCTTGCTTGAGGTGATCGACACTTTGGTATGTTTATACCCTCCACCATACTATATTAACTTTGTCACTCCTCGAAATACTCATGTCAGACCCAACAAAGAATATATATTCTTGAACAGCGTAAAATTCTAAGTCGATTAAGTCATGTCCGTCTGTCTGTCTGTTGTAATCACGCTATCTTTCGAACGAATTGAGATAGAAGGCTATTATTTTTCCAGTAGGTTAAGTTCGTAAATCGGCCATGTAGGTCCACGTTTTTATATAGCCCCCATATATAAGTACCTCCCGATATTCGGTATTTTGATGATTTCAGCGACATTAATCACCGGAATTGTTTCAACTTTGGTATTTGAAGTTCGAAATGGATACTACAGCCTATGACAGAAAATTATCTGTGCGGGTCCACGTCTTTCTATAGCCCCCATATAACGGTACCTCCCGATATTCGGTATTTTGATGATTTTAGCGACATTATTCACGGGAATTGTTTCAGAAAATTGTCTGTGCAGGTCCATGTCTTCGTATAGCCCCCATATAACGGTTCCTCCCAAAATTCGGTATTTTGATGATTTTAGCGTCATTATTTAACGGAATTGTTTCAAATTACTTATTTAGAGTTCGTAAAGGAAACTACAGTCTATGACAGAAAATTGTCTATGCAAGTACAGGTCTTCGAATAGGCCCCATATATCAGTACCTCCCTATATTTGGTAGGTACAATACCCACCGAAATTTTTTGAGATGTCGTATTTGACGTTCCTAATGGATGCTATAGCCTGTGACAGAAAATTGTCTGTGCTGGTCCAGGTCTTCGCACAGCTCCGATGTAACGGTACCTCCCTTTATACGATATTTTGATGATTTAAGCTACATTATCCACCGTTTATTTCATGTTTCGAATTTGAATATGGTAATGGCTTATGACAAACAAGGCCTATGTAGGTAAACGTCGTATATACCCCAATATTACGGCAATATTCGGTATTTTTAAAATTTGAACAGAATTTTTTAAGGACTTTATTTTTTGAAAATTTCCAAATTCGTACCAAATGGTGGAGGGTATTCAAAGTTCGGCCCGGCCGAACTTACTGCTTGTTAACTTGTTTAGTTCCAACCTTGCTTCCAAAATACTCCAGACACAATAGTCCAACGGATTGGTATCCGGAGATTTTGGTGGCCATTGTGCACTCGAAATGAAGTGAGGAACCTCATTTTGTAACCATTCTTGGGTGACGCGTGCTGAGTGCTATGGTGCTGAGTCCTGTTGGAATGTCCAAGGCCTGCGGCCAAAATTTTTGTGTGCCCAAGACTTTAATACAAACTTCACGATAATATTCGGCATTTATTCTGATGCCACGGCCCATTAATACGAGCGGAGAGCGACCATCGGCTGTTATGGCGGCCCACACCATCACCATGGCCGGCGCTTGAGTTCTGGTGACCAATCGAAGGTGAAGAATTTTCAACTGGCCTCTTTGGCAAGTAAACAAGACCTTTTTTGTTTACAAACTGCTGGACAACGAATAATTTCTCATCGGAGACAGAGAAAACCTAATTCGGCAGTTCACCACTTTCGGCCAAGCGATAGCTGTTTTTAGTCTATTTTCAATGGCTTTACCCCGAGCTCATTTTTCAATATTTGACGAATGGAATATTGGCCATTCTTCGGCCACTCCGACGCGGGTTTCGATCAAGTCGCTTCTATATTTTTCGAACCATTTCTGCTGATGTTGCTGTTTTCATCCGTCCACTTCCCTGACGTCGGGCTACGCTACCAGTATCAGATGGTACGAGACACAGAAGATTTATTCATATTTAAATTCTGGAGTGCTCTAACGATAGCCACTTGTGGTTTTCCAGCAAAATATAAAGAAATCACACTATCACGCTTAAATTCCATCACGAATAAATTGTTTTCTGGAAAATTCTCACCAAAATCTTGTAAACAATATAATGAGCTGTCACTGGAATAATTTTAACAACTCTCGGACGACTGGCTTATTAAAGACAGCAGTCTGAAGTTGGTTGCAGCGCCCTCGCCCAAATTCGATTGAGTATCACTCTTTGTCCAAATTCGAGAGAATTTTTCGGAGGTCTGGTTATATCTAAATTTGGAACAATTTCAAAAGGGTTCGTCCTTGGGCAAAATATATGATTTGTGGGAGAAACATATGATAGGTCCTGGGTCTATTTTGCTTTCGTCGGTATTGCGGTTTCTTCAAGGGTTCAAAATTTTCTGCCAGAAATAAATAACTATGTAATAAACTTTTTATTTATATTCGAGAACATCTATTCTGGTTGCTTTTGTAGGGCTCTAAATGATCTTGTCTGTTTAGGAATAAATGAGATAGGAACAGTTCTTTCCGATTTTAGTTTTACATATATCTGAAGGGTATAGAATTTTTTTTAATATATCTATAGTTATATATTCGCTTCACCAGCAATGACAATCAGCAAATTAACTTAATTTTTTCCTCTCTCCCATTTTTTCAGCACGATCCCGAACAGTGTACCCCGGGCGGCGAAGATGGCAATTTCATTATGTTTGCTCGTGCCACATCGGGAGACAAGAAGAATAACAACAAATTCTCTCCCTGCTCACTGAAGTCCATTGAACCGGTTCTGAATGCCAAGGCACGTAGCACAAAGGGTTGCTTTACCGAACCGCAGTCATCGATTTGTGGCAATGGCGTTGTAGAACCTGGTGAACAATGCGATTGCGGGTGGGAAGAGGATTGTAAAGATTCTTGTTGCTTTCCCATGTCACGCCATCCGCGCAACGATGAGAAGCCCTGCACGCTGACGCCGAAGGCGATGTGCAGTCCCTCCCAAGGACCCTGCTGTACGGGCGATTGTAAACTCAAGTATGGTGATAAGTGCAGAGACGACAACGGTTGTCGGGATCCCAGTTTCTGTGATGGCCACATGCCCCAGTGTCCGCCATCGGTCAATAAGCCGAACAAGACAATATGTAACAAGGAATTCGTTTGCTATATGGGCGAATGTACGGGTAGTATTTGTTTGGCCTATGGTCTGGAATCGTGTCAATGTATTCCGGGGCCCAAAGATGACAAGATCAAATCATGTGAATTGTGCTGTAAGCTGCCTGGGGAGGATAATCCATGTCGCAGTTCCTTTGAATGGAATGAACCACCATTTGATGTACCCGATATGTATGCCAAACCTGGAACACCCTGTAATGATTATAATGGGTAAGTTTTTCTGTTTATACGTAGATGTAGAAGAGGAGAGGAAGAGTGAGGCGAAAAGTGTAATGGCAAATATGTCACAGTTTGTGGTTTTGTGTTTCATGATAGTGGTTTTAGATAATACTCAAGTATGCATGTATTTATGTGTGTGAGTGTGTGTGTGTGTAAGTGTGTCTACATGCACACACACACACACAGTGCACTTGACCACCAGTGTGTCTATGTCAAGTGTCAAATCTTTTAAAATGACCACATCCATTACCAAATTGTTCACCAAACAATAGTGAGAGACAATAGTGAGAGGTTTGCTTCCTCTTTTCACCGCACTGCACTGACAGACACTTCTTCGTAGTGCGTTATGCATGACATCACTTGGATTTTGATGAAATGTGGGACAATGGTGAAACTACATTTTGAAAAGATGAAAGGAAATATGTGTTTCCAAAGAGGGCAAATGAGAACAAATATTTTGAATTAGAGATTAAAGAATGTCAAACAGGGCTTCCAAATTCGATGCAGTACATTTCAAGATAAGTTTAGCCATGATATTGGGTCAACATTTTTGAAGGTGTTTATATTGAGTGTCCCTTACAAAGACTTTGTTTCTGATTTCAGAATTATGTAATTTTTGTAAGTTCCATGTAACTACTGACAGTGGAATAATTTGAACCCTTTGGGAGCGAGGTACCAGAAGGGGTTAGCAGATATATATCACCTTCACAACAGATATTGTTTTAGCAAAAATGTTTGTATGTGTGAAATTTGAAGAGAGTTGGATGCCAATTTCGCTTTTTTAAGCATTTGTTTCTAAAAATCTTAAACCCTATGTGGGGGAAATGGTCCGATCTCTACCATTTTTATAAGAGATCTTGTGCTCATAGAAATATTGGGATGTACCAACTCTGAATGGAATCGGCTGTTAACTTTGCGATTTCTTCAAGGATAATCAAAATTTTGACCCTTTTGCGAGGAGGTACCACAAAGAGAGGACCGATATATCCCATTTTCACAGCAAATATTGTGTTAGTAAAAATAATGGGATATGTGAATATGTATAGAACCGTATGGTTATTTTGGATTTTATTATCGTTTTGGTTATACAAAACTTATACCCTTTCTGGGAGAGGTACCATAAGAAAGGGTTCGATCCCTACCATCTTTATAACAGATCTTTTGTTCATAGAAATTTTTGAGATGTGCCAAGTTTGAATGGAATTGGATGCTAATTTCAAGTTTTATGAGCTTCTTGGTTATAAAAAATGTTGACCCTTTTTGGTAGAAGCACCAGAAGGAGTGGACCGATATATCCAATCTTCACAGCAGATCAGAAATAAGGCGATGTGTGAAATATGAAGAGAACCGGATATTTGGAATTTTAAAATTTTTTTTAGTTATTCAAAACATTGACCCTTTGTGGGGGAGGTACCAGAAGGAATGGTCCGTTCTCTACCTTCTCTTTAAAAGATCTTGTGCTGACAGAAAAATTGAAATATGTTAAGTCAGAATGGAATCGGATGTTAATTTCGGATATTAATTGGATATTAAAAATTTTGACCCTTTTTGGGGGAGGTACCAGAAGGAGTGGACCGATATATTCCATCTTCACAGCAAATCTTGCGTTAGTAGAAATAATGCGATGTGTGAAATATGAAGAGAACCGAATGCTTATCACGGATTTTACGATTGTTTTGGTTATTCAAAACATTGACCCTTTGTGGGGGAGGTACCAAAAGGAATGGTCCGATCTCTACCTTCTCTTTAAAAGATCTTGTACTTATAGAAATATTGAAATATGTTAAGTCAGAATGGAATCGGATGTTAATTTCGCTATTTATGACTTTAAGGATATTCCAAATGTTGACCCTTTGCCGGAAGGTACCAAAATGACCTATATAATTCATCTTCGTGCCACACCTTGGGTTAATAAAAATATTATGATCTGTGTGATTTGGAGACACTCGCACTCTTAAATCACATTTTATAAGAGTTATAATTATTCAAAATTTTGACCTATGGTGAGAAAGGCACTTGATAGAATGGGCCGACATTGTCCATTTTCGCATCTTATCTAGCTCTGATACTAATATTAGGATTTGCAAAATTTGAACAAAATCGGATGGCCCTTTCCGGTTCTATAAACTAAATTATTTTCTATGAGAATTTAGACTTTTTGTGGAGGAGGTACCAGAAGTTTCTTAGTTTGATAATATTTGTTACGATATACCAAGTTCGGACTTAATTGGTTAATCTCTTAGAAAGTAAACATGTGCTCGATCCAGCCAGACAGACGAACGGACGGACACCCCTAGATCGACTCCAAATAACCTGAAAAGGATTCGGTCCAAAGAGACCTAGGGTCTAAATTCATTATTTCGATGAGGCTCGTTTTGGACGTATCAAATGAGATATATACCCTCTGTAGTCATATGTCTGAGGGTATAACAACGATATGCCAAAACATACAAAAGTACACAACACGAGCAGAATCTGCTCGATTTCGAGAGAATTTACCTTTCACTCCAAAATGGAGCAAAGCTTTCCCGCTCTTATTCAAGTGGCATAAAAAAAATATTATAAACAAAATTCATTTGTTAACTCGTTGGGCTACTCCCGTACTAATTCGAGCGAGATTCACTCTCTACTCTAATTTGAGAGAGCATTTAGAGGCAGTCGTATATGTCCACCTTTTCATATAGCGTCCATATAACTGTACCTCTCGATATTCATTATTTTCATAATTTGAGCAATATTTAGCAAATTTAGTGTTGTTCGAATATCGAATCTCGGAAAAATATATTAAGTGTAACTTTCTCAATAGCAATGGCTATTTAAAATTCGACCCGGTCGAAGTTAACAGTTTTTTTATTTGTTAATTTCATCTATCATGTAAAAATTTGTATTTCTCTCTTCGGTCTGCGAATAGGCTGGCTCTGAAAAAGATTTTTGGATTAAAATATCGAGCTTGAAGATGGGCCATTTCGATTCATTCTCGATTCGATTCACTTCTCTCCCAAACAATTGCTTTTATAGGCACCACCTAAGGAGGGTATATTAAACTTGGCACAATAGTTTTTATTGCGTCTAGGATGGTTGGTATATAAAATGAGATATAACGATCCACGTTTGACCGCCATATACAGTACTTCTCGATATTTTTTATTTTGATTATTTCTGTCACATTTTTTCACGGATTTGAATTTAAAAATCGTATTTGTAATTCGTTATGGATTCTAGCTCCGTTTTTGCATGAAATTTGGTATTTAATAATCGAATAGATAATATTCCTTCAATAAAAAAATTGTTTTTTGTATGGCCCTTATATATCTTCCTTGGATGTCATACAATGCCTCTTTCGTATTATCTTACCCCATGTTATTAGAACTTTTTCCAGGTTCCTTTAAATTAGTAAGGTTTAAGTATCCAAAAGTTTACACTAAAATATAATATTTTTAATAATTGTATATTTTTATATTTTTTATAATTGCAACAAAAAATAACAAATATATTTTTTCCTCTTATTTTTCTATCATTTCAAATTGCCGGACATATCCATTCATCATTGCAACAACATCAACAATACCATCCAACATCGTCAACAGTTACTGCGATGTCTTCCAAAAATGTCGTGAAGTTGATCCTTCTGGTCCTTTGGCAACATTGCGCAAATTGTTGCTATCCGAGGAGAGCATTGCCACATTCAAGAAGTGGATACAACACAATTGGTATACCGTGGCCCTGGCCGTTGTTGGCGTATTTGTGCTGCTGGTAAGTAAAGACGATAACAAAGCGTATCCAAAGAAATACATTCACAAAATCTAGATAAACAAATCTGTTGATTAACAGATTTGTCTGTGATTGAAAGTTGGAATAAAAAAAATTATGAAATATTTTATTTATTTGAAATAATGAATGGGTAGGAAATTTGTATAGCTGTCCACAGTGAGAATGTGAGTCGTTATGTATTTAAAGATAATTTTCGAAAATTAAAAAATCCCCGTAAGGAAAATCCAAAATTCGGCCGGGGCCGACTTTACGATACCCTACACCACTTCTCATATTTAGCAGGGCTATCCATAACAAATAATCTTTTTTATTGGGAATTTATGAAAATTAAATCATACCAGCTATGATCGTTTTTGAATGGGTATTATGGCTTTGAAGCAGCTATAATTTAAAGCCGAAAGCAACAAATATATCGAAGGAATAGCCTCCTCTTAATTTCAATTAAATTTGACGGAGGCATTCTTACTATTCGAATAGATATATCGGTTCTTATTCACAATTAACGAGAAATCAGATAAAGATATATAGGGGAGTTAAAAATTTAGCAGAGGAATTTTTTTGCTGTATCTGATAGCTGGGCTCACATATCGGTGTTGTGAAGAGAATTCTACGTGTGTGAGGAAAAAAATCGGCTGAAACGTATATATGGGACCTATAGATAAAACTTAACCGATTTTATGAGTTCTTTTTATTGTGCCAAAATCCATTCAATTCGCGCTTATATTAACCATTTGGTGCCTAATTAACTTGAAATCGAGTAAAGATATATAGAAGCTATATCCAAATCTGAACTGAGCTCCAAAAAAATTTTGGCAAAGGTATTTCAGGACTATATTTTATTTATTTTCCCGAATATCGTTGTTACTGACTTTCGTTACGACTGTGGAGGACAAAAATAACAAATAGGATGAACAATACATAGGGGAGCTATAGCTATATCTGAACCGATTTTAATTTTGACATACATATTTCTAAGCTCAATTTGGTCCTATGTTGCAGTTTCCATCCTATTTGGATTATGCAATAACAGGCAAATCGGACGAATATATATGGGAGCTATATCTTAATTTTGATCGATTATCACAAATATCAATAGGATTCGATTGCCAGATGATTTGTGCAAACTTTCACCTTGATCGTTTACAAAAATACATGGACAGTCGGACTGATGGACGGACATGCATAAATCGACTCAGAATGTGATTCTATGCAGATCATCAATAGGAACTATGGGTCTAACTCGCCTCCTTCTCTGTGTTACAAACAAATGCACAAAGAAATAATACCCTGATCACAGTATGGTGTAGAATATAAACGGTCGAAATATATGGACCCACCTCAATGTGCTAAATTTTAAAAGCTTAAAAATAAAAAATCTACAATAAATTAATTTTCCAAATATCATAAATTTTTTGTTTATGGAAGACCTTTTTCATGCCCTCAGCCATATGGCTACGGAATGTAGATATCTTTTGAACCGCCAAACGTGCCTCATCGAAATAACGGTTTTAGATCCTAAGTCTCTTTGAACCAAATCCATATCTGGACATTTGGAGTCCACCTAGCGATGTCCGTCAGTTCGTTCCATCCGTCTCTCTGTCTGACTGGCTGGTGCGCACGATAACTCCCGATTTGGTTCAAACTTTGTACATTGTAATTTCATTATCAAACTTACACGAATAACCAAAAAGATTATAAAAACAAATTAAAATATTCAAATATTTTTTCAAACGCAAAATCTGCCAACCCGTTCTGGTACCTCACCCACAAAGAGTCACAAATTCCAATACATACATCTGTCATAACTTGCGAAACAAGTCGCAACTTGCTATATATGTAAATACAGGGTTGCCCATATTCGACGGACCTTTGGGCTCTTTGGGCCCTTTGGGCGAGGCTTGTCCGCAGGCAATGTTCCTTGCGTCAATTGAATTTTGTACGGGAACAAATGCAAATCAATGCGAAAAATCCGTTGTAAAGTAGACCGAGCCATGCCCAACTGCTGAGAACAGCGTTTTTGGGATGTTCTTGGGGTGGTATTGGTTCATGGTAAAAATCTGCTTGGACTGACGCTTCAAACGCGGTATGTCATTAAGCGATGTGACATCTCTGTCAAAAGTTATGGCGTTGCCATATGGGTCCGTCGAATATGGACAACCCTGTATTTCTCTTAACCAGAAATCTGATATGAATATGACATTTATCGAAATTTATAATTTCGCATGAAATTGGATATAAATGTTAGATTTTCTGGCTAATTTGTCAGTACCAATATTTTTAACTGTATAAGATGAAGTATGAAAATGGAATATTTCGGTCCGCTTTTCCAAAAAAATTGCACATATCTCATATAAACTACAGGGAGTAGTCGATATAGTCCAAATCTGGCACGCTGTAATATTTATATCAGTCTTAGGTCAGATACGAATTGGCAATATTGGCCAATTGCTTCGGAACCTCCCCCATAAAGGGTCAACAGTTTGAATAATCATAACTCAAGGTATACATCTGTCGCAAAACCGACTGATACTATTTTACGTGTTTTTTTTTCTTTCTCCAAATTTACCACCTTTTCCGAAATCACTGCAAATTTTCTCCTAATATTGCTGTCTAAAAACCAGGATTGTGGAAAACTCCCAAAAGATTTAATAGTACTTGGTTTGCAAACCAAACCTACAACGAGTTTCAAATTTGATGAAGAACTTTTTTTCTTTGGTGTCATTCTTCTAAATATTCATAAATTCCTGACTGTTATTCTGACTAGGTTAAAAGCTATTTAACTCATTTCTTCAGATAAAAATCCACATATTTGGAAAAAATGTTTGTTATTTAATGAAAAAAAATATTTTTTTGTATTTTAATGAAAATTCAATTCATACAATGATATAAAAATCCATAGCTTCAGTTTTACTTCTGTTATGAACGATCAAATCATGCAATATACATATAACAATTTTCATCCATTCCATTACTCGTTACTTTTCTGTTCACTATTTCTAATTATTAATTTTTAAAATTCCATTAACCCAAAAAAAAAATTTTTTTTGCTCAAAAGTTTATGAAATTTGCAACAATACTGCTACAGGAAGAATACGAAAAGCAATTAGCCAAAAAGAATTCAACAGACGTCAATGATGGTGGTGGTAGTAAGTTATGGTGGTTCATTTCATCAACAACAGTATAAGCTATGTTGTATTTTTGCTAAATGAAAAAAATCTCAAGCATTTTTTGTTGGATTTTACAAAATTGTTCATCTCGTATTCAACATTGTTGTAGTATTTGACTGTAGCATGTAATGGCTTTAGTGAGGAAACACTTCATTAATCTGCTCCGTTCACTTAATATGGCTAGTGAAATGTTTATTCATCTTCATTTTGAGTTGAAGGCTGCTTTCGGGAAGTGAGAGTATAATAAAAATGCTTGGAATTTTGGTAGGAAATTTAATTGGTATTAAAGAAAAAAATAAGAAAAGGAAATGTTGGGAGTAGAAGATATTTAAGGATCAATAAATGCAGAACAAAAAAAGAGATTTTCGATGGCATGGATAAAATTTCCATAAAATTAAAAAAAAAAAATTATTGAGTGCATCCAAAATGAGAAAATCCAAAAATCAGAAGTTAAAGACAAAATTCAAAACAAAATAGATTTTCGATTGCATACCTAAAATATCCAGAACTATTTTGAAAGAAAAAAATTTTGAAAAAAAATTCCTTTAGACAAATAATACGATTTTTCTAAGCTTGAAAATATGGTAAGGATTTACAGACACACATACAGGGTGAGATGAAAAAACTGCAACCAATTGCAACTAAAGAGTTGCTTCGCAGGCCATGGTGATGGTGTGGGCCGCCATAACAGCCGATGGTCGCTCTCCGCTCGTATTAATCGACCTTGGCATCAGAATAAATGCCGAATATTATCACGAAAATGTTCTGGAGAGTGTATTAAGCTTGGACATTCAAACATTACAGGCCACCAAAATCTCTGGATACCAATCCGATGGACTGTTATGTCTGGAGTTTTTTGGAAAGCAAGGTTGGCACTAAAAAATACCATAGTGTCGATCACCTCAAGCTAGCGCTTCGCCGGTAATGGCCAAAATACCGCAGAGCAACATTCGGGCAGCGTGTGACGGTTTCATTGGCCATTTGAAGGCCATAATTCGTGCCAAAGTTGACCAATTCGAACAAATCTAAATTTATTCTAAAATTTGATGCTATTTCCGACATTTTTTGCTTTCATTCAATAAAATTAAAAAAAAAATGTAAAAATTATGACGTTTGGCTTTGTTGCAGTTTTTTTATCTTATTTTTCGGAGGGTGCGTATACGGGGGGGATTGCTGCCGAGATGTTTGGGTCGCTTTTGCTTCGGAAATATTCGGATTGCAGTCGACTAGGAAGTTTTCAGGGGAAAATGCAAAAAGTAAAAGTGACAAAGTATCAGGAGATGGATACGAGCTAGGAACTAGCTATGGACTTAGAGCTTTTCAATGGATTGAAAATTGCTATAAGCTTAGAGCTTGTTAAGAGCTTGGGGCGTAGAGACTGCTAAGAGCTTGGAGTTAGCTATAAACGTGATGCTTGCCAAGAGCGTGTAGCTTGTAATGACAGGAATTCTCCCTTTGGCCTTGAATAGTTCGTCGTGGTCCAATTTATTTCTTTTGAGACAGAGCAGAATTACCGACTTTGGTTTTCGTTTGATTTGATATTTTATTGGAGGATAATCGAATACTATACTTATTCCATGATAACTGATTCTAATCCTCTTCGGTCCGGAATTGAAAATTCGAGACCTAGATAAGTACTCGATACACGGAACAGGGAAAAAGGATTCGGTAATCAGGGTTTTTAAACGTGGATAAGGACTCAAACAGGACATATGAGGGAGTGTACGGCTGCGTTTACGGGAGATCCGATACGCAGGACTACAGGGGTATTTAAAACTATGGTTGCAAGGTACCTTAATAACTACTCAAGCAGAATTTTAAGAATACTGTTGCGGGAGACTTTTATATGTACACAAGCAGACTACAAGGATATCCAAGGATACGGTCACAAATTTCCTTAATAAGTACTCAAGCAAAATACAAAGATAAGCAAGCAGGCGCTTGCAAGAGACCTTAATAAGTACCCAAGAAGACTACAAGGACATTCAATGATTATAAAAAGACACAAAGGATTTCTAAGGACCTCAGGTTCGACAAGGATGTCCCAGGATGACCAAGGATTTTATACAACATTGTGTAACTTACCACGATTGATGCTAGCGAGTTTTCAATTTACGAGACCGTGGATGAGCTACACGTTCATTAAACTTTCTAGGACCGTGAGCATGCTATGAACGGGGAGATTGTTTATAGTGGGTCGAAGTTTTTGGTAACGAGTTCCAGTTTCAGAAACCATAGATGAGCCACAGGTCCATTTCACTCCTACTTTGCCGGCAGAATTCGACAATATCGGCGATTAAATCTGAACTATTTATTCCGATTATATAACGAAGTGAATGCGAATTATTTCCTAAGAGTTAAATGTAGACAGGTTAATTTTCCAATTAATGTAGTAGAAAAAATCACGTTACGAAAAAAAAACAAACCAGAAGATTTAAGCAGGTTATGGAACATTCGCTTTTTATCTATTTTCATGACGTAAACTTGTCCTTTTTGATCCTTGGTCATTGTGGTCATATTCAAGCCTTACATGTACTGCCAGATTATGTTTTCCTAAATATTTATAAATTTTCAATACTTCACTAATTCACAATTTATTCTCCCCTCTACCTCCACCCATCTTCTTGCAGATCCTGAGTACGAAACTTCTAACGAAACGATCAAATCTAAAACTGAAGTCGGTAACAATAATACACAGCGCTACCACCGAAACCGTCCGACTGCCAGACGACAACAACGGCGTTATCGTTCACACGGCCGTGCGAACAAAGGTGCCGTTCAAAAAGAAAGTCAGAGGCGAGCGAGCAGCAGCCAATGGTAAGAAAACATCAGCAGCAACAACAACAGCGCAGGCAGCAGGCGGTGGCGGCGGGGGAGGTGTAACTAAGGCAAGCAAGGTCATCAATAAAAACTCCCATTCCCATGGACGCATCACCAAAGTGGCGGCAGCAGCAACGGCGGCAACCACCAGCTCAGCAGCAGCCGGAGCCACTGCTGTTGTAACAACAACATCGACCACACCGGGTGAAGGCAAGAAACCACCGCGCGGCAAAAAGAATCGCATTTCCGGGAGTCAAAGTAAAACCGCTCAAAATGTCATCAATGCTGTGGTCAATGCCGAAAAGGCAGCCAATGCGGCGGAAAATCTCAAGAAATCAAAGAAAAAGAAACACAGCAAAGAAATCATTGATTATTCCACACGCAACACAGGCGGTCTGGGTTCGGCCAATAATCATACAAACACTTTTGGCAAGGTACAAAAATGGTTGCTGGAATCCCCCATTGTGGCCCAGCCACTCTCCCACATTGAACACTCTTCGAAGGTTAAGAATGTTATGAGTAAATCTCAGAGTACCCCCGAAAGATTGGTCCAGAAGACACCCACCAAGAGTAAGAGCATGGGTAATTTGTCCAATGAAAAGGTCAAGCTGCAAGTGGTCTACAAGCCACCGTTCAAATTTGCCCTACGCCTCTCGAAGAACACCAAAGTCAAGACCCATGTCATTGGCAATCCGGCGAATACGAAATTTAAACGGCATTCGCGTAGCGACAACAAAAGGGCCAGCGGTAGCCATCAAATGGATGGTGGAGGCAATACTGGAGGTAGTGGTAGTGGTGGGGCTGCCAGATCTCTGGGAGAGAAAACTAAACGGGCCGCTCTTTTGTTGCGCTCCAACAATGATGAGGACAATCAAATTTTAACCCTTAATGAACCCAATTATGAAACCTTAAACCCCAAAACAGCTCCATCCCGTGTGGAGAATCCCTTCTATGAAAATCTCAAATTCATACAGACCAACGAGAAGCGCCTGAGCGATCCAGCTGTAAATGCTGCTGGCGAAAAATCGAACAGCACAAGTGCCGCCTCCAGCATGGTCAAGCGTTCGTCGAGCAAATCAAATCTGGACAACCAACCCTCCACTTCACAGACCCAACATTTCCAGAGATCATCCAGTTCCAGTAATCCCTTTGCCGTAGACCAGCAGCGTTCATCGCGCAAGCTCAGCGACAGCAATGCTGATAATCTGAGTCGCAATTTTGGCAGCACTCAAAATCTCATAAATAATAGTCAGAATAATCTAAGCAAAACCAAGAAACGCAGTAGTCTTAATCTCAAGTCTAGTGTGGCCAAGAATGGCAAAGATCCACCACCTGGCCTGCAGCCGGCCAAGCGCAGTAACTCCAACATGAATCTGCGGAGAGAATCCACGGATAATTCCAAGCTCACACAAGTGGGCAGCAAAAGTGGACTGAGTGTGCCAGCCGCACAGGGTCACGGTCCTGTGCCGCTGAGACGCAGCATAAGCTCCACACCAGCCCACCAATCCAATCAAATGCCGGGCAATGTCTTGGCCAAATCTTCTTCCTCCTCGTCCACACCGGCTGCATGCTTAGCTGGCAGTAACACATCGCAGCAACTGCCATCATATAATGCTCAACGTGCGTCGCGAGCTAGTTTTAGTAACATACCCAGAGCTAGTCTTAGTTTGCTTAATACGGCGGCGGCAGCAGCAAATGCAGCCTCTATAGCATCCTCCAGCTGTTCGTCGGCTGGCGGCAGTGTGGGTAGCAGTAATTCTCCGGCCAATCTTAACAATAGTTTTAATTTTAATCCAGCCATAGCAACACAAGCCGAACACAGGCGCAGCCGCACAAGCTTGCCACCACCACCGCTAATCAGTGCCCCCCTACCGCCCGGGCAGCAACGTTCGAATTCGATAAGACAGCATACCCACAACTATCATCCACCACCACTGCCTGCTGCGGCCTCAGCATCCACATCCAAGTCATCATCCTCCTCCTCCGCCAGTTCTGCTAACAACACCACCAGCCACCACAATTCGAAAATGCATGCCACAGAATTGACATCAGATTTGGAGGTAATGGTCTCCGACATAGAAACCCTGGTTAGTTAGTCAAAAATGCATGGAGTTCGTCAGAAGATGCGTTCGCTGAAGGATCGCATGAATACGTATCTGCAAGACGGACACTAAAAAAAGTATTAAAATGTAACAGCAATCTAAAGGCTGCTATACACGTAATGTTAGAGTCATATGTAAAGCTACTTGTTATACATTTATGTTAGGCATGTTTATAGCATACTTTTAGGCGCCTCACACAATTTGTTTTCTGAGAGGAAACGCATTTATATAGCAAATATTAATATGTTCATAGAATAAATGTAATATATATAGCGTTTCGTTTCAGAAGACACCTACCAGAGCAAGAGTATGGGTATGAAGAGGTCAAACTGCAGGTGGTCTAAAGCCACCCTTCAAATTTAAAAAAAAATATTGGGGACCCCTAAAAGTTTGCTACAAAAGTGTTTATAATAAACTATAAAAGAATCAATTTCCATATGACTCTAACAGAATGTGGGAACGGGCCTTAAACAAAACAACACATAACATAACTTTGATATGGTCTTTTTCGAGTCATTTTTTTCTACAACAGACAGAAAATGCCGCCTCACTGCCCTCGTTTTTAATTTCTGTTTCCTGGGTTGATTTTGGGAACAAATTCTTTGGTTTTTCATTTTCCTTTAAGGCCGTCAACTGAAAATCAAATGGTATTAACAAAATGATATTAAAACAACAAAAGTAATACTAACAGTCCACAGACATACGTAGATATAAATTTGAATATATTTTAAAATCTGTGGAAATTTTATAACAAAACAAAAACTAACAAACAAATGGAAGACTTCCCCTAATCCATCCATTACCATACATATCTGAAGATAGTTTATTTTTCTTAAATTAATTTTCAAAATTTATGTACGAACATACATATTTATTGCCATGTTATGATGATGTTGGGAAAAATGTTTTTATTAAAGGACACATTTTTGATGAGAGGATACAGGTATAAACATTTCCTAATTTAAAAAAATTGAGTCTAAAGGTTCGAAGGGTTAAAGAATTCACAAATTATTATGGCAGGATAGCAACGCCAGAACAGAAGAAATGGAACACCCTCAATTTTCCCTGAGTTTTTATTTTCAGTGATTAAAAGGGAGAGACTTTTAGGTGGTCTTAAGGAAACGGAACGAAGTACTTTTAATGAACTCTAAATTCTGAAAAATTAACCGATCTGCCGAGAGAAAAACAAATTATTTTTATGTCTAGTTTTCCATTTTAAGATCAAACTGGCAATGCCCACAATTTCGACAACAAAAAGTCCAGATGGATTCGCTCCAAATGTTCGTGTTAAGCCTTTTTATACCCTCCACCATTGTATGGAGGGTATATTAAGTTTGTTAGTACTCAAAACACACAATTAGTTCAATTTGACAACATGTGTTTTGTCTAAACTTAATAAATCGTAAAACATTTTGAGACCTCCTAGTTTTTGCCTTTTGAAAAAAAATAATATTAGGAAAATGTTTACCTTTTACATCAAAAAGTCTTCAAAATCTTTCATTTTAAAGTTCACCGAGGAGGATACTAATAAAACCATTGCACAATGGAACCACATACAAATTTTCTGTTCAAAGATATTTCAACATCTCCATATCAAATTCCAATATCCAATTTTATAATTTTAGCTCTATTCCTTCACCTAATACCAAAATCAGTAACATTTTGAAGGCACATCTATCCATCCGAAAAATCAAAAATCATCCAAAATAAGTACAATTTAGTAATTTTCGAACAAGTTTTGTATGCACTTACAGATCCACCACCAGATCTCAAGCTCAGTTCCCAACAGTAACCTTAATATTCCAAATTCCAGTATTTCAGCTCTGTTATTTCCCCATTACTAAACTTAGTAGCAATTAGTACGCATATCCAAAACCCATTTCTTCTCTCAAGCACAGACTCCAGCAGTCACATCTATATCAAATTTCAGGATTCCACATCTATCCCTTTACCAATAGCTGATTTAGTACTATTTAGTACTATTTCACATTTCCAAAAGCACCTCCATATCTCAATACCAGAAACCAACAGAGGCCTCAATATCAAATTTCGCGATTCTCGCTCCATTCCTCCACCCTATGGCCAATTTGGTATCACATTTTTAAAACCACATCCATATCTTAACACCAGCAGCGAAATCTTACTAAATTTCGGGATCCAGCTCTTTCCCTTCACCCAATACCAAATTTGGTACTATTTAGTACTTTTCGTACATTTATAGTACACATTTCCAAAACCCCCTACATATCTTAATCGCAGATACTAACATAGACCTCGTTATCAAATTTCGGGATTTCAGCCAATATCCGATTTGGTACCATTTAGTACCGCCATATCTTAACCCAATATCCGATTTGGTACCATTTAGTACCGCCATATCTTAACACCAACAGTAAAATTATGGTACACATTTCCAAAACCACCTCCATATGTCAATTTCAGATACAAACAAAAACCTCAATATTGAATTTCGGAATTCCAGCTCTATCCCTTCAACCAATAACCAATTTGGTATCACTTAGTAATTTTCGAACAATTCAACAGTGACATCTTATCAAGTCTCAGAATTTCAGTTCTTCCGTTCCCCCAATATCAGATTTTGTACTTTTCGTGCGATTATAGTACACTTTTTCAAATTCAAATTTATATCTCAACCCCAGATACTAACAGACAACTCAATATCAAATTTAAAGATTCCAGGCATATCCCTTCACCCATACCAAATTTAGTACCAATTAGTACTTTTCGTACAACTATAGGACGCATTTTTAAAACACCGCGTATTATCAAACACAGGTACCATCAGTAATCTAAACATCAAATTTAAGAACTATATCTCTAGCCCTCCACCCAACACCAAATTAAGTACCATTCAGTACTTTTTGTACAATTATGGTACACATTTCCAAAACCACCTTAATATCTCAATCCCATATACCAACAGACATCTCAATATAAAAATTTGAGAATTTTATCTCTATACCCTTCAAATTTGGTGCTATTTAGCACTTTTCGTACTTTTACAGTACACATTTCCAAAACCAGCTCCTACTCTCAACCAGAGACACCTCAGTATTTAATTTCGGGATTCCATCTCTATCCCTTCACCGCAGACCAAAATTAGGTACTTTTCCTACAAATATAGGACGCATTTTTAAACCACCGTCAAATTTCAAATACAGATACCATCAGTAATCTAACTCTATCAAATTTCAGAAGTGTTTCTGTATCCCTTCACCCAACAGCAAATGTAGTACCACTCAGTACTCTCGTACAATTATAATACACATTTCTGAAACCACCTCCGGGCTACACATAAACAGCGACCATAATACCAAGTTTCAGATTTCAAGCACTATCTGTCCACACATTACCAAAATTTACCAAATATGGTACTATTTAGTACATTTCTTGCTCTTGGCAAGACTACCTCTTTATCACAAACCTACCACCAAAAGGAATCCGCACAATAAAAATTTCGAAATTCCAACTCCTAAACCTAACTGCTTCAAATTTAGTACCATTTAGTACAGTTCGTACGCCTAGTACAGATTTCGAAAACCACCTCTCTATCACAAACAGTGGTGGCAGAATACCAAATTTCAATTTTTTTACCTCTATCCGTTCACTTAATACCAAATGGTACCATTTTAGAAGTTTAGTACTATTTTAGAAGTTTTCGTAAGCTTAAAGTTAGAATTTCCAAAAAAATATACTGCGAAATCCAAAAAAAAAATCTGTCCTGCACTCCTTCAGTGACTCTTACTCAAAAATTTTAGAATTCTACCTCATTTCCTTTGTCCAATAGAAAGTATTACATTTTTAGTCCATTTTAGTACGTTTCTTACCCTTTTAGTACGCCTATTGGGCTCCCTGTCTATCTACCACCAAGGTTTGTGATAGTACTACATTTGGAACAGTTTGGTTTAGGGTGAACGGATGGAGCTGGAATTTTATATTGGGGTTCCGGTACGTGGAAAGTTTTTAATAATATGTAGTTTTGGAAATGTGTACTACAAATGCACGGAAAGTACTAAATATTACTACATTTCTTACAATTTGGTATAGGGTACATATTTGGAAGTGGTTTCGGAAATGTGTACAATAACTGTACGATACAATTCTGAAATTTCATATATATATCGCTGATAGTATCTGTGTTTCAGATTTGGTGGTAGTTTGAAAATGCGTCCTATATTTGTACGAAAAGTACTAAATTCAAAATTTCAAGATCTAGCCTCAGCCGTTTCGTCTGGGCATTGATTCTCGGTCAGTCAATCAGTTATTGCAGGGAGTCCTCTTTCCTTATATTGAATGTTTCTAAATCGTCATCTCCTTACTTTTGTGGGGATTTTTAAAACAAATTTCCTACAAAACGGTTTGTTTCATAAAACTTTTATGTCATTGCTTGTTTAAAACAAAATGCGACAACCCTGCCCACTCTCTTTAACTTTGAGCCTAAAAGTATGCTTTGAAAACGGTCTTAACGTATAGAAGCATTTCTACATCATCTAACATGGCAATAGCAAAATCAATAAAACAAATCTTGCCTTAAATTTGTAAGATAAAATCGAACAATTTTGGGTCTACTCAACAACATAACAATTTAGGAAATATGTACGAAATTGCTGATATTTGAAAATATCTTGTACACAAAAACAAATCCCTTCTCCTCAGCACCAACATTTTGAAAGAAAAAGTAAAAGTCTTCAAAAACTATTTTGTGATCGTAGTTTATTTATAATAAATTTATTTTTTAAAAAATCAAGCAGAAATCTAAATTGAACAATAATTAAAGAAATTAAAAAACAAGTCTTATAACAGTTATAAGCAACAATAACAACACGTTTGGACATTAAACAAACAAAAACAAAACTATTGTAAAAAATTATGTAAATTTTTATGTTATAAATACATTGCAATTGTAATAAAACGAAAAACAAAACTGATATAATTTTATAATAGAAAAAACAACTACAACTACATTATAATATAAATATTAAATAATAACTGTGTAAAAACTAACCGTAAATATTATATATAAATAAACAAAAACAATTAATATTTTTAAGGCAAAGCAAGCAAAAAGGCAATTGAAGTCTTCTTCATTTGGATATGCAAAGGAAAAAAAATATACATTATTGTCAGCAAAATATTGGTAGTTAAATAAAAAAACAAACACAACAACAAAAACTAGACAACAAATAATTATGTGTAAAGTATATTTTTTGCCAACTATTATTTTTTTATTTGATTTCTTAACCTTACTTTTGTCCCAGTTTTAATTTGTATTAATACCACTAATAATATTAATAATAGTTAAGTAATTAATTAATTAATTAACAATGAAATGTAAGCTTAAATTTAATAACACCTAAACAACAACAACAAAAATAACAATCGAATAAATTAAAAACAAAAATCATACAAATAAAAACCACTATGAATAAAAAATATGAAAAAAAAAATAATAAAAACGTTTTAAAATGTCTTATGTGTCAATTAATGTATAAATTGTGTAAAATAAAACAAAACAAAAGCAAAAAAACAATGATAATCATACATGAATGAAAACAAACAAAAAAAAAACATGAATAAATAAAAAAACAACACAAAAATCTGATAATTAATTGTGGTTTTATTTCAGAAGGTTTTAATGTTTCACAGTAGAGTAGAGTGTGTCAAGAAATATGGATGAAACTAAATGGAGCTATATTATTATTGAAAATGACAAATATTTATGAATTTGTGAATTTATGAGTGACTGAGGCTGATTTCAAAAATGTAGGTGTTTTATATTAATTAACCCCGGTCCTGTATTTGTTATAGCCCCTGATTTTCGTTATTTTGAAGTTTTCTGCAACATTTTGGTATAGCTCCCATACAACGGCACATGATGATTTCCGACATTTTCAAAATTTCTAACATAAACAGCTCGATGTGTAGCCGATATTGCAGTCTCAACGTTCAAAGCCATCATCCAGTACAGCAGCACAATTACGGGCAATGTAGTTGTTGTTGGAAAAAAGTCTATCGCTACAAAGAAAAGAATAAGGGTGAGATAAAAAACTGCAACAAAGTCAAACGCCATAATTTTTACATATTCTTTTTTTTTCAATTTTATTGAATGAAAACAAAAAATGTCAGAAAATAGAATCAAATTTTAGAATATGTTTAGATTTGTTCGAATTGGTCACCTTTGGCACGAATTGTGGCCTTCAAACGGCCAATGAAACCGTCACACGCTGTCCTAATGTTGCTCTGCGGTATTTTGGCCCATTTCCGGCGATGCGCTTGCTTTGGTATTTTTTAGTGCCAACGTTGCTTTCCAAAATACTCCAGACACAATAGTCCAACGGATTAGTATCCGATTTTGGTGGCCATTGTGCGCTGGAAATGAAGCGAGGAACCCCATTTTGTAACCATTCTTGGGTGGGGCGTGCTCAGTGCGATGGTGCTGAGTCCTGTTGGAATGTCCAAGGTCTGAGGCTAAAAATGTTTGCGTGCCCAAGGTTTTAATACACCCTGCAGGATATTTTCGCGATAATATTCGACTACTCTGATGCCACGGTCGATTAATACGAGCGGAGAGCGACCATCGGCTGTTATGGCGGACCATACCATCACCACGGCCGGCGCTTGGGTTCTTGTGCCCAACCGGCACCTTGGCAAGTATAAATGATCATTTTGTTTGTTTACATACTGCTGGACAACGAATGTTTTCTCATCGAAGAAAACCAAATTCGGCAAGTCACCACTTACGGCCAAGCGAAGCAACTCTTTAGCTGTTTTGAGTCTAGTTTCTTTCTGTTGCGGTGTAAGTTCTTGCACTTTTGGAATTTCAATGGCTTTTTACCCCAATCTGATTTTTCAATATTTGCCGATTGGAATATTGCGATATGTTCAGATCACGATCCATTTTTTGGCCACTGCGATGCGGGTTTCGATCAAGTCGCTTCTTTACTTTTCGAACCATTTCTGCTGTTGTTGCTGTTTCCTTTCGTCCACTTCCTTGACGTCGGGCTACGATACCAGTATCACGGTAACGAGCGATGGTACGAGACACAAAAGATTTATTCACATTTGAGTGCTGGAGTTCTCTAACGATAGCCACTTGTGGTTTTCCAGCCAAATATAAAGAAACCACACTATCACGCTTGAATTCCGTTACGTAACATTTTTGTCAAATATAGACCGAGTTCGGGGATGGGCAATATTGGTCCACTCCTTCTGGTACCTCCAGCACAAAATGTCAATATATCCAAAGAAAATAACTTACTGCACAGAAAAAGGAAGGATTATCTGATGTTGCTCCAACTTTGCAAATCCTAATATTTGCACCTATCTAGGTTAGGTACGAACGTTGATAATATCGCTCCACTCCATCCAGTACCTTCCCCACAAAGTGTCAAAATTTTGAATAATTATAACTGTTATAAAATGTGATTAACTAATATTATCTTCAAATTACACACATCAGAATATTTTCACTAACCCAAGGTCTGATGTGAAGATGGAATATATCGGACCACTCCTTTTGGTAGCTCCCCCACAAAGTGTCAAAATTCTGAATATTCATGAAGCTAATAAAACACGAAATTAACATCCTTTTTCATTTAGACCTCTTGTACCTCCCCCACAAAGGGTCAAACTTTCGAAAAACCCAAAGCGATCATACAATCCGAAATAAGCATCCCGTTCTGTTCAAATTACACACATCGTAATATTTTTATCAACCCAATGTCTGGTGTGGAATTGGGATATATCGGCCCACTCCTTCTGGTACCTTCCACACATATGGTTCAAAATTTTTGAAAAGCAGAACGCTCAAAAAAGGCCGGATAAGCTTCCAACTCTCTTCAAACTTCACACATCCAAATATTTTTACTAAGACAAGATCTGTTGTGAAGATGATATATATCTGTCAAACCCTTCTGGTACCTCACTCACAAAGGGTCGCAATTTTCAATACATTTATCTATCATGACTTGCGAAACAGCGATATTACTTGTATTACTTGAAAGTTTTGTAGTTTTTTTGTTTTGAAGTTTTAACAGAAGTTGAGTAGTGAGATTTTTAAATATTTGAAAATTATAAAAGTCGACACAATATTTTAAATTATTTGTTAAATTTTTTTATGTTTTAATTAGACTTATTGCATATAATAAAGTTCATTGACTTCCAAAAACAATTGCAAAAAATGTTCAAGCACAAAAAATTATTTATATTATTATTATTTTAATTCTAATTATTTTTTAATTATTGCCAACGAAACAATGGCCGTCATTTATTATTAGGATTTTAAAATCAATAAAACAGTTATCCTTTTTTGAAGTTTTTAATCCCTACTAAATATTGGTCAGCCATTCATTTACAATTGTTATAATTAATGTACGAATGAATTAAAGCTGCAATAAAATGAATGTATTTTCAATTCAATAACAACAGTATTCAACAGTTAGTTGTTGTTTCATGCTGTTTTGGTGCATTATTTGTATTTAATTGTTGCGCTGCACTCTCTCTCTCTTTGGATTCATAACAAAAATACATAAAACAAACACCCACCCACACAAAAGAACAATAACAAATGTATTTAAATATACAAAAGGATTTATGGAGGATAAAATGAATAAAAAATAAATACCCAATGATGAACGATGAGATGAGTTATTGAAAATGTGCGGAATTTTTAATACAGTGCAGATTTTGAGTTCTGGGAAATAGTAATGAAAGCCTTTGCACTTGCGTATTAAGAGATTAAAAATTAAAAGGCAATAAGCTAAAAAGTATCAGTCGGTTTTGCCGACAGATGTATACCCTCAGCCAATGTTCATTATTTTAATATATTTTGACCCTGTATGGAGTAAGTTCCGAAGGGATGGACCAGTATTGTCCATTTCGTATTAGTCCTAAATAAATGTGATATAAATATTGCGACGTGCCAAGTTTGGATAATATTTATATGACATATGTAATAATTTTTTTAGAAAATGTTGGTATGTGCGTGAGGTACCAGATATAGTCGACCGAAGTATTCCATTTTCATATATCATCTAATACAGATAAAAATATTGGTATGGGCAAAATTACAAAAAATCTAATATTAATATTTTAATTTTAAGAGAGAAATAATTTCGCAAGTTATGATAGATAAAAGAATTGAAAATTGTGACCCTTGTTGTGGGTGAGGTACCAGAAGGGGTTCGCAGATATATACCATCTTCGCAACAGATCTTGTGTTAGCAAAAATGTTTCTATGTGTGAATTTTGATGAGAGTTGGATGCTTATTTCGCTTCTTTAGGCGTTTTGTTTTTTTTTAAAGGAGGGAGATTAGGTTCCAGGTGAAATGATACGATCCCTCCCATCTTTATAACAGATCTTGTGTTGATGGAAATATTGAGATGTACCAAGTCTGAATGGAATCGTATGTTAATTTCGCGTTTTATGATTTTCATTGATATTCAAAATGTTGACCTTTGTGGGGGTGGTACCAGAAGGATTGGACCGGTATATCCCATCTTCACCGCAGATCTTTTTTTTAGTAGAAATAATAGGATGTTTGATATCTGAAGAGAACCGGATGCCTGTTTCGGATTTTGTGATCGTTTTGTTTATTCAAAACTTTGACCGTTTTTTTATTTGGCGACCTCCGCCATCTTTGTAACAGATCTAGTGTTTATTGGAATATTAAGATGTGTGAAGTCTAAATGGAATCAGATGTTAATTTTGTGTTTTATGAGCTTCATTGAAATTCAAAATGTTGACCCTTTGTGGAGGAGGTACCAGAAGGATTTGGACCGGTATATCCCATCTTCACAGCAGATCTTGTTTTAGTAGATATGATGGAATGTGTGAAATATTAAGAGAGCTGGATGCTTATTTCGGATTTTATAATCGTTTTGGTTATTCAAAATTTGACGCTTTGTGGGGGAGGTACCAGAAGGAATGGACCAATCTCCATTATCTTTGAAACAGATCTAGTGATGATACAAATATTGAGATGTGCCAAGTCTAAATGGAATCGGGTGTTAATTTCGTGTTTTGTGAGCTTCCTGAATATTCAAAATTTTGATCCTTTGTGGGGAAGACTCCAGAAGGAGTGGACCGATATATTCCATCTTCACACCAGACCTTTGGTTAATAAAAATATTGTGATGTGTGTAATTTCAAGGTATTCGGACTCTTACATCACGTTTTATAAGAGTTATAATTATTCAAAATTTTGACTCTTTGTGCGGGAGGTACTTGATGGAGTGGACCGAAATTTTCCATTTTAGCGCCTGATCTAGCAAATATTTGAATTTGCAAAGTTGAAGCAAATTCAAATTATCCTTTCTCTTTCCGAGCAGTTTTTTTTTTAATTTGTGACTTTTTGTGTGAGAAATACCAGAAGAAGTGAACCGATATTTCCCATCTCCGAACTAGATCTAAGTTTGACAATAATATTACGATGTACCAAGTTTTGATCAAATCGGATGCTCCCTTGGAGAGGAGACAAACAGACGGATGGACATCACTAGATCGACTCCGAATGTCCTGAAACGGATTTGGTCCAAATCGACCTAGGGTCTAAAACCGTTATTTCGGTGAGGCACATTTTTGCCGTATAAAATGATA